AACGTGGACTTAACCAAAAACAAAAAAAGAAAAAGAAAAAGAAAATTAAGGGGACCTTAATGGTGGTTGATGGAAGGGATCTCAAATCCTCATTTCTTTATATAGAACTAAAAGATAAACTCACAATTTGATTCTTCAACTATTGTATAGGTTTCGGAATTAATTCTTAAATTAAAAAAAAAATAAATTCTATTTTGGTTTTAAATTTTAAAAATTTAATCCTTTTCTGTTCTTCTATTAAAAAATTTACTAATGTGACTCGTGCAAAGCTAAGTATCATTAATTTATAACTAAATAAAGCATTAAAGTAAGTAAATGTTAAAGTGTTAACAACTAGACAGTCGCAGTGCAGTGCAGCACAATCCCCTTCCCTTCTAGCAACTTCCTTTCACATTACTTTGGCAGGATTCCAGTAGACTAATGTGACTGCTTACTTGATGAGAAGACTGATATCTACCAAAATTTTTTACATGCAGGATTGAGAGCATGCATGGTTAAAAGAATGAGATGGGGAAAAAAAAAATTTAATGTTCCCTTTTCTTTTTCTTTTTTTCTCTTCTTCTTTTTTCCCTTTCTCCTTCCTCTTCCTTTCCTTCACCTTACGTAAATCATAACTCCTTAACCTACAATTGCCCTACTTTTTTGTCCATTAACCTAATCAATTTGAAGAAGATAAATTCACACTTTCCTTCAAAGACCCATCGAAGAACCTTTAAAACTGGACCAAATCTAATTTTGCTAGCCCCTACAACAGATTTACCTCCAATTTACCCCCGTGCCACTTATAAAGATGGTTGCATCTACGAGCTTTCTCTCTCTAGTTTCTTTCACCAAGGTACATTTCTCTTTTTCTCTCAAACTATACCAATCTTCAATCCCTTGACTTCTCCTCCAACTTAATCTCCAAACCCATCCCCCAAGATTTGTAATACTTGGTCAATCTAGCAATTTTGAATCTCTCCCCCAATCGACTTAACCATGAGATCTTTCCATAGCTTGCATTGTGCGCTTACCTAAACGTCATAGATCTTCATGACAGCTTGCTTTTTGGGTAAATTCCTTGCAATTGGGTCTCCTATACACCTGGATGCTTTTGATGTTTCATTAGATAAGCTTTCTAGTCCCATTTTGGCTTCTTTAGGGAACATAAGCAGTGATTTTCCAAGATTTAACGCCAGCTCTTTTGAAGGGAATAAGGATCTCTATAGGTACCCTTTGCCACTTATGAAGCCCAAAGGATTATCGGTTTTGACTATTGTCTTGATCCGACTCGGATTTGCAAAACTGGTGCTCATTTTCACTAGAGTACATATATAGTTAAAGATTACAGAGCAAAAGATGGATGCCAAAGAGGCAAAGATTAGTTAGTTTATGCTTGATTATTAAACTTAATAACACATAATTGAAGATTATTATGCTCAAATATAAGGTTTGATATTTTAAATACGAGGTTGTGAGATAATAGAAATTGTAATTAGTGTTAAGAAATCGAAAGAAGAGTGCAACTTTATCTTCTTTAAATTGATTTGATTTTTAACACTTTATTTTTAATGGACATTCCTCATTTCGTTTGCTGTGTCCAAGATTCCAAAGGCATTTTTTTTAAAATATTTTTTTAAAAATATCAAATAGTTAACTATTTGATAAAATAAAATTTTAATTTTTTTTTATTTTAATTTTAAATTAAGAGAAAAAAATATTTTGATATTAAAAGTATTAAAATATTTAATAATAATTATATGATAAATTTAATAAAATTAAGGTTCATATCATGCTTTACATTTAATATAATTATTATTAAATATTTTAATATTAAAATATTTTATGTTTTCTCTTAAATTAATAAATATTAATTCAATTAAATTTATCGTTATTGTTTTGAAATATAAATCCTAAGCAGAAAATATGGAGAAAAATGAAAAAGAGAGAGAGAGAGATTAGAACTTTAGCAGGGAATCCAAGGTTGAGAAAGACAAACTTTTTAAAAAGAGAACGCGGAAAGGCAGAAGAAGCGTGGCAGTGACGCCTCCGAACTTTCCCCTTGTTCCCACTGTTCTAAGGGTAATAATAATCACGGTTCTTTTTTTGATGTACAGTCTTGCATTAAGTCACTATTAAGTCTTCCACTGAGTCTTCCTGTTAATTCTATAGTGTTGTACAATTATTGAAACCTCTCTTGTAATTGGTTTCAACTTGCCTCCTTCATTCAAATACTGTAATACCCTTATACTAATTGTACCTTTTTGGATCACTTTGCATGTGTTCAATTCACTGCTACATGCATACTCCTGTTGTGTGACTCATTGGTAATCATTATAACTCAATAGGACTATTGATAGATTGCACCTTTGATTAGTGATCGAGCCTTACTAAAAACAAGATATTAACCTAACTTTTAACTTCTCTAACCATTGTCCTGTGATACCCCAAAATTTTCTAGAATAAATAAGTGTGAGTTAAGGACTTGATTGTGAGGAAAATATTGTTTTGAGCTTAATAGCCAAAAGTTTGAAAGCTGAGGGACTTAAAAGAGAAAAAATTGGATAAGGATGGCTTATTTCTTTTCTCCTTTTCCTCTTTCTTCCCAGCCTTGCCCGATTCTGCTCTTCTTCTCCTTTCTTCCCGCTGCAGCCCAAGAAGAAACCCAGGCCCCCCGACGCACCTCCCCTTAAGAAATTGGTAAAAGCTTGGATTTTTCTCTTCTTTTCTTGTTCAAGAACAAGATTTAGGAGCTTGAAATCTTTCCCCTCGGCAGAAAATCCCGGATCTGCTCTGTTCTTCCTCCCCTGCTGCGGGTTTCAGCTTGGTGAGGGTGGGGGATCCTTCGGTTTTCTGGTAAGGGAACCACCATGAAATCATCTCTTTAGCTTTGATTTGCCTTGGGTTTACCTTAATTGCTCTTGGTTCCTTCAATTTTTGCCAGCCCCGTGAGTTCCCGGCACTGCCGCCGACTTCTTCCCCAATCTGCAGCTCCGGTTCCTTGCTTGCAAATTCCGGTATGTGGCAGCTCCTCTAAGTGCAAGTTTTACCCATTTAATTGCTGCCCTGTGTGTCCGAAATTCTGGATTAATTAGGGGAGAAATTTGATAGTAATTAGACCATGATTAAGCATTAATTTAAGTGGGATTTATGTGATTGAGTGTTAATTGACTGCTGTGTGATATTTGGAGAAAAACCCCGTGATTAGCTAGTGTTTTGGCCAATTTTAGAAGTTGGAGTTACTGTTCACGTCGTGGGTACTGTTCACGGGTACTGTTCACTACACTGTTCATAGGTTACTGTTCACACACCGAGGTTCAACAATTAATGGGGATTTAAATGATTAATTTGTGATATAAGAATGAATTTGGAGATATTAATGTGGAGATTTATAGAAATAGCATCGTGATTAAGGATAGTCCTAATGATGATTTCAGTGTGAATTTGTGATGGTACGGTATTAATTCTCGGATATTTGATTAGGTTCTTGATCCGTGGGGTACTTTAGTACGTGAATTGAATGCTCGGTTTTATGAAATTTGAGGTAAGTAAATTTATGGTAATGCCCGTACAGTTTTAAAAGCGTGTTTTGATTTGTTTTTGAAATGGTGGCGGACTAAACCCGTTTTATACAAAATAAGTATGACTGATTTGAACTGAAAATTTTTATGATTTTTATGGATTTGAGCATGCCTGCTTGAAGTTCATGTGATTGTCTTGATGATTTGAAAGTTATTTGTAAAGAATGATTTTTTTGTTAAATTCAGCCTGTTTTGTCTCCGATATGGTCATGTTATCCTGTTGCCCGCTAGTGGGAGGTTTATAAACGTTAGCACATGTCGACATGTTACTGATAGAACCGGTTCGTTTCTGTTATCCTGCTAGTGGGATTAAACACTAGTAATTTCTGTTGCCCGTCAGTGGGAGGTTTATAACATTGGCCGTGACGTATAGCGGAGACGTCTATTTCGTTCCCGTACTTGTATCCGTTTTTCTGATTGCACGTGTTGACATGCTATAAGTTTAATTGTCTTCTATTGAACCTTATTCTGCATAATGGTTTATCATTGAACATTCCGTTTATGTTTAAACTGTTTATCTGAAATGCTCAAATTCTACCCACGGGTTATCCATACATTTACTTACTGAGATATTTTATCTCACGTTTTTCCTTGTCCACCATTTCAGGGAGTGAGATCCGACGCATGGGGAGCCCGAGGGAGTGACGAGTTAGAAGGCTAGCCATTTCGAGATCGATATAGATTTTATAAATAAATCATGATCTTGTATTTGGAGATTTCAATTGGAGATTTATGATATTAGAGCAAATTATAAAATTTGATCTTCAGATTTTGGTGGTATCAGATTGTGATATGATAAGTTTCGAGCCTTGCGTATTTGTGAGACTCGTCTCACGAGTGCAAGGCGTCTGTCACGTCCTCGGATTTGGGTTCTGGGGCGTGACAGTCCTTGTCAAAAAAAAAAAAAATTTACTGCCACAACTCCAAGCATCTTCAGGGAAAAATGAAGAAAAAACAAAAAGATTAGATAGGAATCCAAGGTTGAGAAAGAAACTTTTCTAAAAGTGAACACGGAAAGGGCAAAGAAGCGAGGGGGTAGGCGAGCTATCCTTAAGTCTTCTCTTAAGTCTTCTACTAAGTCTTCTCTCAGGTCTTATTCACGGCTTCATTTTTGATGTCTATAGTCTTCTATTAAGTCTTCCACGAAGTCTTTCTTCTAATTTTATAATGTTATATAATTATTGATGACTTTATAATAATAAATTAATTTTTGGACTTTTGTTAAGCACCTCTTGTAATTGGTGTCAACTTGCCTACTTAATTCAAATACTGAAATATCCTGACACTAATTGCTCCTTTTTGGACCACTTTACATATATTCATTTCACTGCCATATCGCCGAGCATCTTCCAGGAAATATCCAGCAATATCACTTCTATAAATTTCGCTCTCCTCCTTGATCGTCTCACATTTTCTTATTATCGGACACAATTTGGCTTGCAGTTGAGTGCGTGCGGTTGCCTCCAGTTTGCTTAGCCTAACTAATTGGATTACCAGTGTCCTCTTTCTTCGATTTCTTCCATTGAACTTGTAGGTATACTATCTATTAAGATCTTCAATTATGATTATGCGCATTTATATTATTTTTAAAGTAGGTGTTAAATGAAAAATATTTAATTTTTTTGGATGAATAACCTTATTTTCAATATTTGTTGTTAGATTCTTCATTTTTAAATTATTTCTTAGTAAATTGTTAGATTTTTTTATCTTTAAATTTATTTTTACCTAATTAATATATAGTTACTTAATAAATCTTATGAGTTATTCTTTTGTTGATCATATTTAAAATCTGTTCTGATTTCAGGAAATATTCATCGACTATCTACTTACAGAAAAATAAGTTTACAATTAAGCAGATCTACTGGTGCGTGTACTTTACTTGGTTTAATTTGGTATCATCATCCCTAATTTCTTCAATTTCATTCATTTGTTGAAGCTGCAGATATACCATCTGAATCTTAAATCTTGATTCATGTAAATTTTTGTTGAAGTATATGTATATATTTGTTTGGTATATTGAAAAATTAACTATTTGTTAGGGTAGAGGTTTGAAACCCTCACCTTAACCTCACATCAAAGTTTTTTTTTTTTTAAGTATATAAAATAAAAAAAGTAGATATGAAATCATTAACCTATTTACTTCTGTAGTCCACCTTTTTATATTATCTCTTTGCTTTGAGCATAATTCAATTATAACTAAATTAATCGAAATCTTGAGGGTTTTTTT